CTTGAAGGGTTCTGGCTGCAGCTGCTTCTCCCCAAACATTCCTTCCTTCCCTGCTCTGCCCCCAAACAGCCCCACCCACCCTTCCTGGGACAGGGGAGAGGGTTGGCAAACTGGGCTGGAAAGGGGGCTCTGAAGCTTCATTTATACATTATGCAAAGAGATTAGAGTTGAACCTTAAGGATAAACTTTCCATCTCAGCATTGTGAGCAGGCCTGAGACAAATGTCCATTTTTATTTGGGTGAAAATAATTTTTTTTAAAAAGTCCAAATTTTACAGATAAAGGCAGGGGAGGAGGAGGAGCTTGAAAAAAAAATCAAAGAGAAAACCAAATTGTCCATTCACAAGAAAGCAGTTTGGCCAGACATTTGATTTTGGCACAAATATTGTTTGTGAAAAAAAATCCTGTTGAAACTTGTCACCTGGTTTACACTTTGTGAAAGCTGCGGAGTTCTCTTCAACTTCTGCCCTGAGAGGTCAGGGATTTCTGGGCCCCCCAATTGTAGCTCCCTGCTCACCTAGTGGTGGGTTGGGCAGTTGGTTTCTTGGCCATGTTGCAGAAGCAGAGCACAAAGATCAAGTCTCACCTGTAGCAGATCTCCCCTCTGTGAAAGGTGAAGCTTTTTTATCCAGATTATCCCTGGTTATCCAGAATTCGGGCTCCCTGCCTGTCAGCTGAGTGTGAGCTAAATTCAGATATAGGGACCTAGCAGGAAAACTAGCCAGGTGAAGAAACCTACTCACAGCTGGATCCCTGCAAACAGGTGCAGTATCACCAAGGTGACACACAGAGAGCAGGTAGCATCTCTGATTCCCCCTGTCCTTACTTCTCCCCACAGGGAAGGAGCCCAGCGTGATACCAGCAACAATCCTGAAGATCAGATACAATGTAAGAGCTTTTATATAACATTGGAGTTTCTGGGGTCACCTACCCATGATGGAAAAATGTGGGGCCGGGAGGAAATGTCTCAATTGAGGGGATGGACAGATCCCAGATCAGTGTTTCTGATCAAGAGTTACAACAAGAAGCTGCCTGTGTTCAAAATGAATGAAGATAAAGAGTCCTCGGGGTCCCAGGGCTGGTGCATCTGAGTCCCTGGGGTTCCTTTGCCCCCCCTTTTGCCTGTGATCTGCAGCCCCACATCGCCAGGGCTTAGGGGACTGGAGTGAAATGTTGCCCCTTCCTTTCACACATGGAAAGGTACATCCCAGGGAAAGCTCCCACTGGAAAGTGTCCCACTTTTGTTACATGGTGCTCAACGACTGCTCGGGGGGAGCCCTGCGCTGGCTGGGGGAGAGTTAGAGCCATGGGGTTATAATTCATGCTCTAGGTGTTGTCATCCTTTGAGAGCACTTACACCCCAGTGACAATGTGTAACTGTCGCTCTCTCCCCAGATGCCTCTGTGAATTTGTCGGGAAGCACTATGGTGAGTTGCACTTTTACTAAGGATGAAGTGAGATGAGAGCGGAGAGCAACTGGTTTGACTTTTTCAGCTTGGCAGGGACCCACCCACTTGGAACGTGGATTTCCTGCCGACTATCTCACGTAGCTATACTACAGATGTATTTTACCTCCTATGGCCAGAGATGGGGCACTAGATGAGTCAGGCTCTGACTTACAACAGAGAATTTGTTACCAGGTGTCTGACTGGTGGGGTTTGCCCTCGTACGCAGCATCTAATTCATCAGTATATGTGTGGCCAGGAAGGAATTTTTACCTGGATCAGACTGGCAGGGACCAGCGGGTGTATCTGTCTTCCTCTGAAGCACAGGGCCCGGGTCGCTGTCAGGTTTGAACTAGTTTAACTTTGTGGAGTCTCTGGAATATGACGTCACTATAATTCAGCCAGATATTAGAGGGGAGGTGTCAGTAGAGACTCAGAGACTTTAAGGCCAGAAGGTATCATCATGGTCATGTAGTCTGACCTCCTGCACATCGGAAGCCACGTAAACTCCCCCAGCCAGACCTCTAACATCCAGCAGAGTTACTAGTGACATCATGTTACAGAGACTGTAACCTGGAACTGCCTTGAGGGCTGGCTGGCATGGACAGGGGGGATGACTCCTGTACACAGCCGTTCTAATGGGAGGCATAAAAGGTCCAGAATAACACTATGGAGGGGGAATCTGATCTACCTGCCTCATAGGGGTTAATGGGGGGGGGGGGGGGAAGCTGTTCTGCTTGCCTCAGTGGGGTTAATGTAGGAAGTGGGGTTGCTGGTGTTTCCCAGCCTAGATGCCCATAGAACTGCCCCTGATGTACGCACAGCAGGGCTGTCAGAGGGGCATCTTCTGGCTTCATTTCTCTGACCGTCAGCTGGCTGAGCAGAACAGTCACATTTTGGTGTTTTACAGAAGCATCCACGGCCCCAGAGAGAAGAGACTCCGACTTACGCAACCATCGCGCTGCAGAAGGACAGGCTGAGCAGGCCCCAGCCACATCACAGAATCTCCCCAAATCAGAGGCAACAGTAGGGGCCGTGCAGCCAGGAAGTGGGGGATCTTCTCTGGGACCACAGCAGCACAATGCCCAGCGCCCTAAGTGCTGAAGGACACTGGAATAGGCTTCAGGCAAATGCTGCCTGTTTGCCTTTTTTTTTTAACCAAAAAAAAAGTTTCTTCTGAATAAAATTGGGAAAATCCCCTGACTCTTTGTATTAGTAGCTCAGCTCCCAAGTGCTTTCAGCTCTGTTTAGAGATTCCTGTAAGTGCCAGCACCCAGCAGCTGATAAAAACAGAGTATTAGAGCAGTGTTTGTGTGAGGCTGGCAGCTTTGGAAAATATCCCCAGTGTATTTAGGTATTTAGATTTGGAAAGTCTGGCTGTGTTGCGAGCTTCCCAATTAGCGGCACAGGCCTTGCTGCTGAGCACCTCAGTGAGGCTCTGCCTTGTGCTGTTGACACTGGTGGATTTGGGGATCTCTGTTTCTCTCTTCTAAGTTTGGTTGTTGTTGCTACGGCAAGTTCCTTGGACCATTCTGTTTGCCCGTCCTGAGGAGCACATTTCTGCAGGGCTTTGAGCACCCAGGCACTTTTCCAGGGCAATTTTGGAGCATTTTCAACTTTCAGGTAATTAGGGAACTGAAGTGTGAAGGGAAAAAAAAGAGTCATCTTAGTGATCAGAGTCTTCTGCTTCAGGTTCATGCAGACAGTAACACAGCGCCCTCCTCCCACTCAGCTACCTTTTCCTAACTTCGCTATCCCCTAGCACGCAACAATTACAAGTCAGGCTGTCACAATGTGCCCAGAGAGGAAAGAGCACCATGTGCTAGGGATGCCTTAGCTCTGGTCTTAAGTGATCAGAGCAAGGTTGGGGTTTGAACCCTTCCCGCAGGAATCCTGGAGAGTGGTAGGGGAGCCCACTGGTCTGCCAGGCCTCTGGTTAAAGGTGGCGGGAGTGAGGGACTCAGATCCTTTCTCTAGCCAGTACCACCAGGGCAGCGCATGGGCCAGGGAAGTTCCCCACAATCGTGGGACCATTCCCCTGCTTTCATACAGAGTCCTTGGGCCTCCTCCTTCCTTTCTCTGTGACTCAACCCCCATCTGTGAAATGGGGACAAAAATTCTGCCTTGTTTCAGAGATGGGGAGGGGGAGGAGGAGCAGGGGTGACGTTTGGTGGAAGAGGGGGAATGGGGAGGGGGAGGAGGAGCAGGGGTGACGTTTGGTGGAAGGGGTGGAGTGAGGGCAGGGTGGGAATGGGAAGAGGCAGGGACCTCCCCAGAGCTAGGGGTGATTTGAGAGGAGTCACATGGGTCACATGGGGTGGTCATGTGACCAGGGCCTCCCTTGTGTCCCTCCCCAGCATTTAACATGGATTCGAGGATCACTGTAGCAGAGGGAGGGGGAACCTGACCTGGCCCCCAAGGGAGAAGCAAAGGGGCTGGCTAGCAGCAGGTGCAGGGACTAGCAGGGGACCCATGTCAGGTGTTATGGCACCTGGCACTCACCAGCAGGGGAAGCGGAGGGAGGCGGTCCCAGTTTTGCTCTCCTGGCTGTCTTGGGAAGGGGCAGGACTGCCCCACACTCCCCAGTGGGAAGAGGAACGATACAGCGGAGGAGGGCAGGGCAGGAAGCAGCCTTGCTCCACTTACCCTGCTGCTGTGGGTGAGTGTGAAGGGGAAGGGGTTCCATTAGTTTCTCAGATTGCCTTGCTTGGGGAAATAGGTGGGGCAGGGAAGAGATGGGATGGAGAGGGAGAGGCTGGGTCTATGCGGAGGAGGGGATGTCCTGGCCCTTCCCTGGGTTAGTGTCCCCCCTCGGCCCTGTGACCAGTCCCACAAGTTTACTTACCGGTGAGTAGTTTGGGGCATGCTCAGTAGGCTCCCAGTAGCTGGACTCACAAACCCCACTGAAGCAAGAAGTCAGGGCAGCTGCTTTATTAAAACCAACTTGGCCACAGGAGCAAAAAGCCGCTGATTTCTGCTAACTTTGAATTATATTCCAACCAATTCATGCTGCTGTTACCTTCCCCGCAGTGAGGCACAAAGCTCCGTTAGTTACCAACAAAGGGAACAGGGAACACTGAAGTCTTTGCTTTTATTCTGTAGCCCATCTGCCAGGTAAAACCAGCAGTAGCCAAAGTCAGATTCAGGAGGTTTAGGGTGGACATCAGGAAAAACTTCCTAATGTTCAGGGTGGTTAAAAACTGGAATACATTTCCTAGAGAGGTTGTGGAATCTCCATCACTGGAGACATTTAAGAACAGGTTGGACAGACACCTGCCAGAGACGATCAGATGGCGCTTGGCCCTGCAGGGGACTGGACTCGATGATCTCTCAAGGTCCCTTCCACTTCTAGTGTTCTATGATTCTAGGGTTCAATATCCAGGGTTTCCTCTCTGTCCATCCAACCCAGAACTGGCTCGATCTTCCACCTGTAAATTCACCCACCACCCCTGGTTGCTGTGGAGAGTCAATGCTTCCTCACTCACATGTAGAATCTGGGTGTGGAAAAGAAACTTATTAAAAGGAGGGAAGTTACTTGGCAGTAATTTGGGAAAACCCCACAAACAGGCTCATAAGCAGAGCCATGAGTAACAGTCCTACCCTAGGTAGGTCGGGCAGCCTCCTTTTCTGCTCAGGTTCTGTGTCCCCTTCACATGCCCAGCCCTTCTCTGCACCCCACTCGCAGACCCAGAGCTCAGAGGGGCAGTCACAGAGCTCACGTCCCATCCTGAGTGGGGGAGGCAAAGGGGCACCTCACTCACCCTGCCGGCTGCTCACTGGCCACCTGCCCCCCTTCTCCCTGCCCTTGAAACTGCCCTTCAGGCCGCTCGCGGTGCCACTCTGCTGCTCCCTGCCGGCCATCGGTCCCATCTGCTTCCGTCCTCCTCTCAGCTGTCACCTCTGTCCAGCCTTCGCTCAGTCACTTTGCAGGCTGGATGGGAACATGGCCCAGGTTCAAGTTCCATCAGCTCCCCGTTATCTAGCTCCCAGCAGGCTGCAGGGTAGAAGAATCCCAGCTCAGCTGCAATTAACTTAACAAGAGGTTCCCTATGAAGCGTATTTGACTCTATTGGTTGAATGTGATCACCTGTTTAAAAGGGTTTTCGGCTTTTACATTTCACTTCCTTCCATTTTTACCACCAAGAGAAGGGTGGAAAGATGTTTCACATGACGTGTACGTCACCGCCTCACTCCCTTCCCCTCCCGCCGTGACGCTCGGCTGAGTGCTGTGCGCTCAGCCAGGCTGCAGCAGGAGAGCCCAAATGCCTGCTTGCGCCGCTTGCTCCCCCGCAGCGGCCCGGCTCAGCAGCGCGGCGCTCAGCAGAGCACCACGGTGTGAGAGCGAGGGGTGTGGGGCGGAGACGTACACTGCCCCACCCTCTGGCCATGTATGTCACCGCCTCGCCCCCCTTTCCCTCCCGCAGTGGCACACTGCTGAGTTTTGCGCCGCTCCGCAGTGCTAGAAACTGGCCACTAGATGAGACCTTGTCTCTAAAAGTCTGACTTTAAATAAACCCTTAATTAAGAGGAGTTTTAATATATTAATGTATAGTGGCTGAATGCACATAATGTGGTTGCAATAAGCTTGATCACATTTGGGGGTATCTACATCCATCAAATACAGTGCAACACAGGGACCTAGTATCTGACCCTACAACAATGTACAATGCCCAAAAGAAAAACACAAACTAAACAAGCCAGTGTACCGATGATGCATCCATCTAAATGCCATCTATGCTCTCAAGATGTGAATTATCACAAAATGTAAACTGTCCAGCAGGCAAAACAAGCCCATAGCCACGCCATGCAAGATGGGTGATAGGTTAAGACCCCAGACTACTGATCTGTTGTGTGCTGCTGTCCCCGCTGGTTGTGGTTGTCACGTCTTTTTTTTCAGGCAGCAGCTGGGTCGGGCTTCTGCACCTCTTCACCCAGCTCAGCCTCACGGTCACCACAGCAGAGTAAAAGCTCCCCACAAATTAGATGCTGCAGCACTTCTGACACCAGAGAGGACTCAAACCTTGCTCGCACCAATGAGAACTGAGCAGGCACTTTTAACTTTTCATCAAAACACTTAGGCTACATCTACACTAAAGGGTTTTTATGGAAGAAGTGAATCGCTTTGGTGCAAGAGAGCATCCACATTGCATGGACACTTTCGCACAAGAAAGTTCTGATGGCCATTTACAAAATGTTCATCAGAGCACCTGTGCTTTTTCGGATAGGCGAAATTTGAGCAAGAAACCTCTGTGGTGCGTCCACACATGCCTTTTTGCGCAACAGCTGTTGCATCACCCTCCCTGGTCCCCTCTTGCACTGATCAGCTGCAGCCACCGTAGTGTTTAGAAATGGGAGCCGGCTAGGAGCCGATAAACCAGAAAGGATCTAGCAAGGCCATCAGTGCAGGGATCCCTGGGAGAGGCTCTGGCCTGGGCAGATGCTCTGGCTAGATGGGTCCATTGGTCACTTTTGGCCTTTACATGTACGACCACAAACATAAACTGCCCTGGAACCCTCGTGAGAGCAGAGTAAATGGAGAGCGAAAGAATGAGGCAGGTTAATGTGTAAGGACAAAAATAACATTGTGAGAGCGGGTTACTGAATCCCACATCACAGCATGTGACACAGACATCCCTGCTCTGGGTCGGGCCTGGGGATAGCTCACTGCTAGGGTGGGGGAGGGTAGAAGTGTCTACACAGGGGACTTTGCAGATGTTTGGGGAGCTGTCACTCATCTTGTGGTTCCCGCTCTGCACTGCTGCTTGGTGCAACTGGACTGTGCGTGCAGAGGCGCTGAGCAGGACCGCTGCTCACGGCACCAACTCTCCTCTCCCTTCCTCTTCTGAGCAGCAGCCAGACACTCTCTAGCCCTGCAGCATCAGGCTCTGTCCATATCCCCAGCTAGGCTGGAGCTTGGGTCTCATTCTGTCCTGCCTGTCCTGGGATGAGGGCCAGCGGGAGAGAGGCAGGATCTA